TGTTCTTTAAGGTCTGTTTCACGCCAGAGCCTATACTTGATGCTGGCTCATTGGTGTTCTGGGAACGGCTGTCTTTAAGACCATAGAAATTAGTGCCATGTCTATTCTCTCTCCTTTTTACTAGGTGACTCATTCTTTTGGATCACAAGAGCCACAAAATTCCAGTTGCGAATCAATCCCTCAACTTACATCCAAAAAAGGCTCTGGAAAACTCCCTGGTTTAGAGACACCGCCGCTGTTACACCTATACATTTTTATTTCTTCTTTGACACTCTGTGTCAATAGAAAAAAGGTTTTCGATAAGCCTGTATGCATCATTTTGAAAGCAGATTTTAATAAGTCGGTTTGGGCTTGAAGCCTCTGGCCTGAGAGGGACTGAAGATAACTGCGGCTCAAAAAAAAGAACTATCAAGATTTTCGGAGAACTCGGTATCGTGTCCTTTGAGAAAATCGTCCATTACTCTCGGTCATCTCCGCAGCCATCTGCAAAACGTTTCAGAATAATCATCAAATTTGGCAGTGTCGTTTGCCTTCAAAAAAGTATTGAATCAATTTTTACGAGTATGATTATTGAAGCGGGACTCCTGAGCTATATTGGCCACTTCTGAATTCTTGGAGTGTACACCAGGTTGACTTGGTTTTTGTTTTTGGACCGGGCATAGACCTGAATGCCGCTTATTGTACAGGTCAGCAGGTTGGCCGAATTTGAATGGTTTCCTTAAATTTACCTAACGCATATATCCTCCTGTTGCCAAAGTGACGGGAATCAAATCTGTAACAAGATTTAGCAGGTCGATGCCACTCTGCGACAATATTTGGACACGAGTGTATGGTGCCTGCTGTGCTATCTGTCTCAATCAGGCTGCGTCTGAAGTTCAAAAAATCTGGTTAAAACAAGGGTGTAACAGATTTCGGAGAGACTACCATCCAAATTTTCCTTCCTGGCTACGTGGCCAACTGTCATATCTGAATCTGAATATGTCAGTTGCATACGGAGTGGCGTGTTACAAGGGACCACTCATCAGATAGAGTTACAAACCGTCGAAGTATGGAATGGTGGCCACGTACAACGGAAGCAATACAGCAGCGAGCAAATAGGAGTTGGTCAACATACTTGCGTAACTTCTACCTTGATGCATCTTGCGTATACCAGCAGAAGACAAAAATTCTGGTTGGCATAATCACAGAAGATCATGTGGATTTTTCCCAGGAATATAACTTGTACCCTCGTTCTAGTTGAGCACTAAATGACTCCTGAGAATGTATGCGGTTCATATGCGTCTGAACTAAAATCGGAGCTTACCGGGGAATTGAAGTAGTGTGGTTGTGCACAACCACCAACTCACCGCTACGCACTACTGCGCTCTCCAATGACGCACTGATGATTTCACCTCGATTGGTGATGAAACGTTTACAATCAAATTGTCCGGCTCAGCAGACAAGCCAACGACCACCATCTACGCTACCTGAGCAACCGACATTTTCTTCTTCGAAATATACTTGGTACATTTCGCACTCCTAAACGTTGGAAGATTAAGTTCGTCATGCAAAGTTATATCCAATACTAGCTCAGCGCTCAAGTCCTGCTCACAAAAACATGAATCTATTGTCAGGAGGCCATAAATTATAGTTTTTACGATAACGACGATGTCATCCTTGACCAGAAGAACTCACAGTTCCAAACATTTGCTTTTTCGAATGAGTTTACTGATCAAGCGATAGCACAGCAGTCTTTCACCCTCCAACTCTTGTGCAAAATTTGAGTCGATTGTGAGCAACTGCTACTTTGTCTTCCAAAGAAACTAAATGGAGAGAGCCTTAGGTTTCCACTTATGGATCTCTCTAGGACTTGGACGAAAGAAATGCGTTGTTGTACGGAAAATCAAACTATACACCCTCTTCGGCAAATCGTTGTATACAGGTACCCATAATACGAAGATAGAAATTATGAACAAAGACCGATGGATTTCAGCGGTTCAAAAAACATTATTGAACTTAACTTGCATTCCATGGGAAGAATTTAACAGCAAACTGGCCAATTGTTTCCCAAACTCTTCCGGCCTCGTGACCGATTCCCCTTGTTCCCAAGTAGATCTCTTACGGGTCGAATTAATGGGTCAGGAGTAGTTCGCTTCAGCAAAGTCTAATAGCCATCTGGCCACCAGATGTGCATTAAATGTAAAATCTTGCTGACCAAAGTGACGAACCCCGTGAAATACCGTGCGACAAAATTGTTCAGTGTTGTCTTTTGTCACGGAAAGCTCGATTTTTCGCTATCCACCGAGACAACACCACTCTTGACATGGTGCGATAGCCAGAGTTTAATTATCCATGAAATGGATCAATTGCCGAAGATGAGCTATTTGAATTCTTGGTAGTGAATTTAAAACACCCTTATGGGAATCTGAGTAGGTAAAATGACATCAACCAGCATGACTCTTTAACACGATCCTTTAGAAGAACATCAGATCTGCGGCATTAAGCATACTCTCGGGTATTTAGCTGCTTCTGTAATCAGTCATCCTGTTTTGGTCATATACTACCGCCGCCGGTTTTAACTAAATTAAAGACCGAAAGTGTCAATGAAATTTCCAACTTCTTTCTTGTGGGAGAGTACGGTTCAGATTACAAAAAGTTAGGAGGCAGCTGATGCAATTAATCTTTCGGCACGTTGACATCTGCGATACTTTTCTATCCCTCAGGACTAAGTTTAGCACAAGCTCGCTTTTATTTTCGGATTTATCCAGTTTGTAACATCAAGCGTCGAACTATTTCATGGCATATTACATAAGGACCGGCCGGCACTTTGTCTTAACTTACACAACTGGATCTGTTGCGGGTAAATAAGTCTATCGCAGCCTCAGGGTTCAGTGTCTTCATCTGATGAGTTCTTTTTAACACAGTTTCCTATCCTCTGTAGTCATATTTTTGACTTTACGGCTCTTTAACCGCACGTAGAGGTTAGAATATACGTACCACTACAAGGTCTACGCAGGTCAACGTTATTGGTACCAGTCACGATCAGCCAACAGTGACTGTACAAGTACGACATAACGATTGGCTTTCATTGCATCAACCAGCTAATAACTGAAAGCAAGCACGGAAGCCTAGTCAACTTAACATTTTGGCCAAAATCTTGACGGGCTTCCGTTTCAGCTAAAATAATATTGCTTTGAGACTGAAATAGTTTATTTTCCCAAGAAATGCTCTCATTTGTGCGTCCGTTTAGTGTTAACGAAAGGCGCAACTGAATCGGAGCTGAATCTTTGATTAAAACAAACCTGATGTACAAATGAGTGTAGTGCGTGCATTTTGTATAATTTGGGTTCAACTAGAACACAAGTCTCACGAAAACTCGGGTACTGCGCCTGTCTGACGAGATCCAGGGAGGGTGAAAACTGTATTGCGGTATCGATGGCTTTTTGGCAACTTTAAAAATAGCTTCCTTCAGGAAGATATGCTGAGATCGCCCGAATAGCGTACCAACAAATACCTTGGGAAGCCTTTGTGCATCACATCCAATCGAGAAATAGACTACACGGAAGATCATCGCTTGTTCACTTGCGCCTCTCGTTACAACCAAATCGGCGTGTAAGGAGTTGTTTCTCGCTGGTCAAGAGAATTTCGGGTTCAACTAGAGCACAAGTTTGACGGAACCTAGGGAACTGTTCTTGCATGATGAGCCCTCTACATAAGGGAAAGCGGTCACGGCTATTAAAGGATTTTAAGCAACATTTAGGTAGTTTATTTGTTGCCTCGGGGCATTCGGTCTCGTAAACAGTGTGAACTCCGGATAAGTTTGGTGTTCTACCAGGCAGTTTTTATTGAGGGCGATCCACATGGTTTCATGAATATAGTTCAAATCATCATCGCTTTACTCCACCGATGGATCGCATTTGGACGCCTCAAAATTCTGACTGCAAGAAGTTTATTCTTGTAAAATCCTAACCAATGATGGTTCTACCACAGGTTTTATGTGGGAAGTCACTGAAATTTAAACAGTTTTCATTGGTATTACAGGGTTACACCTTGTAACTTCAGATTTTTAATGCTCCTGCTTTGTGATTTTTGGATAATGGCGCAACATGGCGAAAGCGCATAATGGTTATCATATTCCGTGATTTCTCGGCAAACAGAGGTCAAATAAGAAACAGGAGACAAGACAATCTGTTAGCGGGATGGTTACTTAACAATGTGTATTAATTAGCGGGAATTATATAGTTTTGGAGTTTACATGCGTTGTTTTGTCCTGTCCTTCAGTACCATCATTTTCATCCAGTGCTTCGTGTGTATTGCGCACCAATCCAATGTATGATGGGCATGCTCAAGGATAAGCTAACAACACTTCAGTGCCATGGTGGGATAGTTCACCATTTCAGCTTAAACTGCCAGTCTGTCATTGAACCGAAGCCAACTGCTTTAAGGATTTCTCCTTGTTAGGAATGAAAGGTTTCTTCTCTCTGCGGATAGCGAAGTGTTTCAGTGCGCTTGATGCGTTTCTTTTTCAGAGGTTCCTCGAGGAAAAGAATACTGTGTATACAACATTTGTCCAGTTTGACGGTTTGTTATGAAAGTCTACACTAGACTTGACAACGTCAGAAAGATCATTGGTGTCAGGTGTCGAAGAGGTATTCATATGTGATACTCATATTGAAAAAACTTCCCATTGTGTGGTGGGGAATCCCTTACTTTTCTTTGCTGTGTTCTTTGGCGTAGGAAGCAGTTCGAAATTTGTGAATATCTGTGCACGACTACTGGATGGTTAAAACAGTAAAAAACTGATGATACAGTTTCTACAGGAATGCTATTTCTCTTAAACAAATAAGTGAAGCACCTGACCATTATACCATACTGTTAAGAGCATCAAGCAGAGGATCCCGTCTGAGCAACCCGGTCCCACCGTAGCTGTTTCTTTTGATATTTTGATTTGCTATATTTGTTCTTCAAATTTAGCTATCGCATATAGAAATGCTTCAAGCTTAACCCGGACTTATACATAGCGATTTGGCCAGCTCAATTGCTTGGGCCTCAACAGATGAAGTGTTCTCAGCAGCGGATGACCACACCATTGTTTGCTGGTCCTTGAGTTCTAAGCAAACAAGCAAGGTGATCAGCTTGCCAGCCACAGTATTTCCCACCGATATGGACTGGTCTCCAAGACAGCGTGGCAAACAAGGATCGAAAAGTGTTCAGACATGTGATACCTTCATATTGGGAGCAACAGACGGTGAGTTCCTTATGCGCAAATCCCCCTATGGTTCATTCAGGTCGATTTTACCTCCTGACGAGAAATGGTAAGACGGATAAGGGAGTGGAAGCACACCAAGGAGCCGTGCTTGCTGTACGATGGAACCAAGATGGCACGTCATTTGCAACAGGTGAGTTGCCGCACTTTTAAACAAAACAACTGTTAAGCTGGTGAAGATGGACAAATAAAAATCTGGTCTCAGAGTGGGATGTTGCGCTCAACACTGGTTCAGCATGGTATGGTCATCGTATTCAATTCGTTTCATCCATTTCCTTGAGGCCTTCCGATTTATTCTCTTGCATGGGGCTCAAATAATTCGCAAATCGTGTTTACACTTGGCAGACAACTTGTTCTGCAATCTCTTCAAGCCAACGCCAAACCTCTGGCTGTACGTACAACCTTGAATTCAATGACCAACCTTTAGTGGAAAGCCCATGAAGGCTTGGTGCTGAAAATAGACTGGAATGGTGCAAATGACCAGATTCTTTCCGGCGCGGAGGATTGTAGATACAGGGTAGGTGGTACTCATTTATTCCTGGTTTATTTCTAGTTGTGGGATACCTTTGGCAGGCTCCTGTATTCCAGTTCACCCTATAATCACCCAATCACCTCGCTAGCATGGGCGCCAGATGGACAACTGTTCGCTGTTGGAAGCTTCAATATGATGCGGTTGTGCGACAGACATGGAGTAAGTTAGTGATTATTTAATCAAACCTCGGGTGATGACTGGGCTTTGTTAGTTGGTCTGAAGGATAAAAAATCATATGGAATTTTCGAACTATGAAGTCAAAACACAACGTAGTGGAGTAGGTTTTTGTAATCCACCGTTTCTGTTGCCATAGTACAGAGTGCACACGTAATCACATGTACACACACCCACACACGCTGGTCCGATCTGACTACCAACTGATCACAGGGATGCACCAATCAGAAGACACGGTAGTGGACTCAAATGTCGCTGCATTTGAGTGTGAAAGGTTGTCCACGGCAACCGGGAAGTTGGCCTACAACAACCTATTCCACTACGCTGTGTTCTGACTTTATAATTAGAAAAATCCATATTCTACACCACATGGAGCTCAATTCTTTTAGCAATCTTTGAGTCGATTTCGGCCTACCAACCAATAGTGGAAACGTCAGTCGATACTCCTGAGGCGGAGCCTGTTCATAATAAGTCATTCAATTCAAGACATTCTGCCCAGAAAATGTTGTTACGAAAATTCATATTATATATATATATACCTGACATTTAATTGCAAAGTTAGTTCAAAATGAGTGGCCAAATGAATGCTACTTTCCGTGAGAATTAAGCTTGAAAGTGGTGTCCCCTGAATGTAACCTTGTCTCTTGTTCTATGCTCACAGTGACTTACTTTCAACTATTCATTTAGTGGTCGTATGCCGTGGTGAAGACGCAAACAGGCAGTCTGTTGAACATGCGCTGGTCCGCGGATGGGACGCAAATCGCAGCGGCCGGTGGCAATGGTGAGATTATTGTGGGCCAAGTTACTGATCGCTGGATTGAATGGAATGGTTTTGAGGCTGCCGTGGTGGATGAACGAACAGTAGAAGTGCAGAACATACGGAATGGAGCGACGGAACACCTTGAATTTCGTGACCGAGTAACCAAAGCCTCATTAGCTTATAACCAATTGATTGTGGTCACCTCCTCTCAGTGTTACGTCTACAGGTATGTGCACCTCTACGATCTACGCCGCATTGCCCTGTTTTGATGTTTTGTTCACCTTGTACTTCTGAAAACCCGCCGCCACCCATTTAGGTCATTTTTCTTGTCTTAGTGCAAAAATGGTACAGTTAGTAAGGTTTGCAGACGAAATTCGAGGTTGAATGCTAAATCAGAATATCTCATACGACAAACTGTTTTATTTTAGCACGAACAACTTCAACACTCCCGTTATCACAGAACTGAGGGAGTGTAGTGTAACCTTGATTGTCCAATGTCTAAAGTGAGTTTACCTGCTCATGCAACTTCTTCCCAGTTAATTATTACCTGAAGTTGAGAACACTTAATGTTCCAATTTTCGCCACAGGTACTTTGTGCTTGTCGATGGAATGAATATCTACGTGTACAGCTATGATGGTCGTCTGGTATGTTCTCCCAAACAGCCCAATCTGCGCACTGACTTGGTTCACGCTACTGGATTTTCTCTATCAAACGATACAATTGCAGTAAAAAACGGACTGGATGAGAAGAGTGAGTTTGGTTTCCATGGCAAAGGAAAAACACCATCGTCTGAATGATAATACTTAATATGATGCAGCACACCGTTCTGGCGGAAACACTTTTGAGAATTAGCCAAACGTTCATCCTTTCGACAGGATGGCCAATAAAACTATCACAACATGCTGGCTTTACCGGCGCAATTTGCATCGCAACGTTTTCTGGCAAGCTCTTTCGAAAGAAGGGAAAGTGGATTATCTAGGTAATCGATATTCTTGGTCCGCACCAGTGGACTCGCATAACGGTCATGGGACATGGACATCTCAGCAGCTGGTGGATAGTGGTGTTTTAGTTAAGTTCAGCCTAAACAGAAATCGATAAACATGATGCTTTATCACAAAGAGGTTTGTTTGCAGAATAAAGAAAACAAGGGTGATTATTGAAACTTGAGAACGACAGCGTGATCGTGCGTCGCATCTTCCCATCCATAAGATGTCTTACTTTCAGTTGGTGTTTCAAATAAAGAGTGTTCTGAGCAATCGTAGTGTGTGTGTGTAGCCAAGGCCAAACCACTAGCTGAGTCTAAAATAGTTTATTATACGCTGAGTTAGTGCGTTACCTCTGCCTGTGACATAAAGTGTTCGAAAAGCTGGCCAATAAATATATGTAAGGTATATAGAACATTTAGTGTGACAGAGAATTTACGTTGCGGTATCTGCTTTTGTGAAGTGAGTCACCCATGTGCAGAACCAGAAAGCATCACGTGTTTTCTTGCAAAAGGGCATCAATGGGAGAAATTCCGTACTTCTCAAACCTTCTCCTCTGGGGATGGGTTCAGTAATTGCGCATTGAAACAATCGACCTGGAAAGTGGGCTTTTGGGCCGACAACTACGTATTTTGTACCTATTTCGTACTGGTCCAGATAATCTTACCTTGTGTTTCGGCCCAGAAATTCTTATCAGGAGTCAATGTTCCGTACAAATATTAAATTGACCCATGGATTCTTGGAAGCAGTATACAGTTAAGTCTAGGTGACATGGTTCGCACAACTTATCAGTTGTAACTTATATGTGAATGTGGATGGAGCGTTCAAAAAACGGTGCTCTACCGCACAACATTTTCTCTGAAAATTGATTTTAATAGCCATATTTTATTGGCAATGTCGCGGAATCTTGGCACCTCGAGTGCTCTGCTTGGTTGTTGGTCTGTTTACCGAACTTTGCAACTGGGTTGCAATCCAACTGCCAAGCTGGGCGAACTCACCAACAACCAAGAATGCAGCCTACACTGAACCAGGATGTAAATTCCTGGCGCCCAAGAATGAACTTTTGGCAGCTGTATTTAACATCATACATAGTTAATTAAGTCTTATTTTACAATTCCTGGACCGAACACATTGACTCTTGGTGGGACCTCCATTCTCGCGTAGTACAGCGGAGGCGCTGGGAGAAAATGGCAAAACAGCGCACCTGCTTATCTGGCCCACTGAGGTTGGATGTATTTGCTCTTAGGAAAACAAGTGATGCATGCTTGATAGAAGAATATAGCCCTTCTGCTACTCCATGGCGTATCTTATAAACAAAACCAACCACCAAAAAAACCCCTGCTTAAGTTTAGTACCCTGGACCTGAGCATCGCTCATGTAAAAACGGCTTAAGAAGTCCCGAAACATTGGTTCATTCGCCTAACAAATGAGACCTCATTTCATTTCCGCTGCGGGCCGGTTTACCGACACAAGAAATATGTTCACGCCTTTTTACTAATCTACAACAAAAGCTACTTCGCATGAAACTCTGAGGACTTAAAAAAAACTCAATATTCAACGATTCCTAGAGTACCAGAGGGATTTTGTACAACTTTAACCGATGGACGAGGGACAACTGGTACACAGCGATCTATTACTATTTTTCCACACTCCGTCAGTGGAAGCAGTTTCCAAACTTACAGACACTCTTGTTCTCTGATTTTTTTTGTAAATTGGATTATAGAGTTTTTGTTTCCTGTTCCACTTTAACACTCAAAAATGACATATGTTCGCTTACAGCCATTTACCTCTTTGAAACCGCAACTGCAAAGCCGATTGGGGACGGGAAACCAATCGTTCATTCCGTGAGTTGAGCACAGTTTGAGTAACTATGAATCCAAGGATTCGTTGTATTGGATGATACCATGTCTTTCTTCTTACTCTTTTCCAAACGTGCGTCACCTGTTGAACAATCGGACATTGAGGTACAGGATCCTAATTACGAACACGGCTAAATTTTACCCATTCACGAGCCAACGACACTTATTCTCAAATTGATTTACGTTAAATCCACTGCATCGGTGCTCCCCAAAGACGGTTTGTTGCACCAAAGTCTTTTTGATTTCATAGGTTTTTCAATCCTAAGTAGTTGACCGACGGTTTTATAAGTAGAAATAGATCCTATCGAAAAATAAATCAGGCACTCAACACCATGCGCAAACGACGGTAACTTATGCTCTACCGTATTTGTTCGAAAGCTACCTATCTTCAGATGCTCAGCTTCTTGTACAACATGAAGTCCCAGGACGGTGAAGTGCTAACGATTTAGGACGGAACAAATGGCTTCACTGCGTTTCACGGTTTGATAGATTAAGCTGGTTTACTTTGTCAAGCTAGGTTGTGGGCACCACTTTGAATACGAGGTCGGTTAACCGAATGCTCGAGTTTGCTGCCTTCAGAATGTTACAGAAGGGCCTACAAAATTTCAATATGAATGATTATTCATGGTGTTATCACAGAGGCTACGATAACAGCAAAAACGACTTGTTTTTTCATTTTGTTTAGCTGGAGTCAATTTTCTCGTTTCATCCTAACAGACCGTTCACAATTTTCGTTCCGCATTGCCGTTTGCCTCCTCAAAAACGCGCAGTAACATAGATTTTGAAGGTTGTATACAGATGGGCAAATGCTCCTATTTCTTGTAAGTATATTGAAGGAGCGAATAGCGACCTAGTTGCTGGGGTGTAATCAGATGGTTGGTTCTTTACTAAGCCAATTTAATTTTTCAAGATCAAGCAAGGTTTGGTTAGGTGATAGGGAGAGAACAATTAGGCCATAATATTTCCCATGTAGATGATAATTTTCGATGGCAACGGTAGATAAAACCTTTAGCACAATCCAATAATCTACTTACCTGAAGATCACAAGCACGACTGGTGAAAGAGTACTCGAAAAGTAGAGGTGGCCGGTCCTGAGTGGTCAATTCACTTAGCCCTTAACCTGAAGTGGGACTCACCAATTAGAGGCAGATGATTTGTTGGCCTGGTGTTCAGGATTCAGAGTTCACACTCATAATCCCAGTATTAAGTGGTCGTTGACTTTATCTTTGTTGGACAATTATTTGGGAATGCTTGCGGGACCTATGGAATGTGGTGCCACCTGATTGGGAAGTCATGACTTTGGAATCCGTCGGTCGATGCAACCAAGACTGCCGTCGCTCGAGAATCGGTCGGTCCAGTCACTGCTCGCAATACGAAAATCTTTGGTCGTTCAGGGGTGCTATTTCATGTGTCTCCATTGCGCTCTGGTGAAGTAATGGTGATGAGTTCGTATTGCATTTCATTGAGACGGAGTTCGAATCCCATGTGGCCACTGACGAGCTGTAATATGTGTGAAACTAATCTACCGTGTCCTTTTTTCTGTGTGGGTTAACCGAAAGAAGCACAGTAAGGGCAGAAGAGGCCTGCTAAGACAAGAGTAATGTGGATGAACCCCAGTGATGGTCGTCGGTCTATTCAAACCAGTGGATGGGATTACATTTGTTGTAGGGTTTGAAAGCGAGAGAGAAAGTTTAGCAGAAACTGCTCCAGACGATGGAGGCTGTCCGGGAAATAATTCATATTTTCGCATAAAAATAACCCCGAGCTTAAGATTTATTTTCAGTGGATATTTCGTCGTGCAAATTAAGTCAACCCATGCTGAACAGCCGAGGAACAGTGTACAGCTGTTTCATCCTTATCAGGAATGATCGGTAGTACGTACCTCCAAGGAGATTCAAACCCGAGACTTCCCGTCTACCAATTTGAACCACAAACTGTTCAGCCACGAGCGGCTTATAAGACTATGCATCAAACGAAAGCCAAAAATATGTTAATATTTGTGCGAATATCTCATCCAGGCCGGTGCAGTTGGGAAGACAGCCGACTTTTGAATAACTTTGAAAAATACCACTTCAAGAGCAAGAAAGTAGATTTAAGAAGGGTCGAGCGTTCATCCGTTTTATGCAACTTCATGCCAAAATTTTATGATCAATAAATGAATTCGTCTAAGTGAAAGCAACTGCTCAGCTACCACGGTTCTGCTATAATGAAGGGATTGACTGTTAGATGAGTTTCTGGTTGCGAATAATCCAACCAGGCAACCGACAAATCGGCCTAAATATTGGCGAAATTCCCACTCACGTAGCTACGATCATTGACACTTTCGTGATACTCACCTTCCGTTCATTGGATGCTCTATTTCCACTGGCTGTCAGGTTATCGGAATACTTCTGCTCAAACGTAATACTGAATTGCAGTGTACGCGTGCACTTTCAACCGTCCCCCATACTGTCATTCTAGTGAGTTGCAGATCGGATCTGTGTCACGGCAAACGTTAGTCACAGAACCTCCACAGCGATATTCGCTCGATTCCGATTCGCCCTACCATGTTGCTTCTATCAGGGAAGTCGGAGTTTCCAGGTGCCAGAAGCACCTGTTTGCCCTGCAACCCTACCGCAGCGGTACCAAATTGGTGGTTAGATTGGACTTGTATGAATGAATTTTGGTAGAGCTGGTCACTCACTCCGACTAACCGGAATCGGTGTCCCTAATGAGGCGTCATACCTATTCTTTCTTCTTAGGCTGAGGAGAACTTTGATCAACCAATGTTTCAAATTTTTACCTTTCAACCTTCGTCTATGTGACACAGATGGCTGTTTCTGAGAGTGTGCTTCAGTACACTGATCCAGAAGGTTATAGATAATCGTGTGTATCCTGTGTTAGGTTTTTGACAAAGCCTGTCCAAAAAACATTGGTATTTTGTACTTCGTGTATCGCGTTCTAAACACAGTGAACAGAAGCTTCCCTAATCACTTTGATAGCTGTAATGAAGCAGGTTACACTTTCTGGTTCCGTGTAGAAAAGAATTATGTTGGTCTCAAGGATAGGTCCCTGCGAACAATTTATTTTTTTCTATAAGGTCACTTTTACGTGATTCTTTGGCGGCAACGAGTGAAAGGCCTTAATGTGATCCATTTCGTTTAGACCGACGTTCTCCAAATTGGACTGGATCAATGTGGCTCACCACTTCATCAACGACTGGCCATTCTGGATCGGAATAAGGATCTCTACTTGATGTCAGTGCGGGTATTTGGAACCAATCGAAAGTCAACCAAGCTCAGTACGTTGAAGTGGTGCTCCGTCAGTTTTTAGTTTTCAACAATTCTATCTCCAAGCAAGATGCCCAATTTAGGTTCAGTCAGTTTCCTGTTCAGAGAAGAGAGCATGGATATGTTTCCTATTCACGCTAAGAGCACAAAGTGTTCCGGTCCCTCTCCAACAATAAGATAAAGTCCCTTCATTGGGGGCACATTTCGGGGAAGATTGTAACCCCCTCTCGGTGACTAGATGCCATGTCACCCGAAGGAAGCACGAGGTCTGGGGGTACTGCCAGGTTGCCCAAGCCTAGACAGCGGAAGTCGAGAGGCAGAGGTCGGGTTCGAACCACGGACCTTCCGGTCAGTGGTAACGGAGTGTTCCCTACTTAAAAGTTTTGTGGATTCACGTGTGAATACTCAGAGGCGATCAATGTATTTCTACTAAATATGATGGAGCGAAATATCAGGAAATATTTCGCTGATTTTTCGAACGATCAAGCACACGTTTTATTTTTAATAGCATTTGGAAGACCGATATAAAAACTACGGCATTCTACCGAAATAGAGCTCCCAGGGTGGGTAAATCTCCAAGGGGTCCGTAGTAAGTACTTCTATATCCAGCGAGACTATCTGCTCCAAAAATAACGTTTTAAGAATGTGATGGCAGTTTCAAATGATGTAAGTTTAGGGCGCAGGCCGACCAACAACTAATCAAATCTAGTTATACCAGTTGAACGAAAACAAGTGCAAATCCAGATTCCTACCTTTGACAATAGTTAGGTGTTGAGCGTATATTAACATTTAGAACGACAGCATCCAGCTTGAATCCTCGCTTTCTAATTATGCCAATTTGGTCCCCAAATTACAGTAGGCTGTCGCACGGAAATTTGTCGGAGGCTTACTGCTATTGGAGACAGAATTTCAGGGATAAACTCACTGTGGGTTGATCCACATGAAGATAGTTCTTCTATCTTAGCAAAATACGCTCAAGTTTAACAAAAAATCAATGGGGGACTGCCAAAGAATTTCGTGCAACCTTATGAGTAGTGTATTACGTCTATACATGCATCGCGATATCTCGAAAATCGTACCAATTGAAACATGAGACAGCCCGGTGCAGCACACTCAGTTGCTTAATAACATCATAAACAAGAGATTCATCTGGGTTCCGGATAAGTCTCCCCCAAAACCAAAATTATTTGCAAATGAGTGTATATCGCTAAATCCGTGCAATTTGGGTTCAAGTAAAATATAGGGTTCACGTGGATTCGCGGACTGTGCCTACCTGATAAATTTTATCTCATTGAGAGATTTCATTGTGTAGTTCGTATCGTTGAACATAAAACATATCGGAGTATTTCAATCCAATCGATAATCCATCTGCCTGAATCTCAAATGTTCGTTTAGTTCTCAACTAGTCCCTAACATCCTGGTCATATTCAGATAAAATAGAAGAGACGAGGATCCTGAAATTTTGACAACCCGTTTTAGCTCAGTTTTATTCGCGGCCACCAATGCCCCCTGGTGGAAGATTAGAAAATTAACTTATCATAGACATTGTAGAAGTACCGCTACCCCAAAGGTTTCATCACGTAACCTATACAAAACAAGTGAGCTTGTTTACCGTATCACATAAAGCATTTCAATAATCTAAGATTTCCAACACAAATACTTTTACCCACATAAATAATTCATGAAAAAGTTGTTTCACTAATATCAAGTTCACTGGAATATCTACATATTTCTACTTTTTTCCTCCCTGCATCTCTTCTCTCCATACCACGCCAATCACTCCCGCACTTGTTCTCATGAACGCTATACCCATGAAGCAACCATGGCCAGTTCGTTCATTTGGTCGCAGACATCAAATATTCTGGCGGCTGTCGTCAATGATAATATATCTGTGTGGCATTATCCTAACATTGCGTTTGTGGACAGCGACCTTTTGGCACTAACCACGCACGAACACGATACCCAGTGAGTGTAATTCTAATCTGGAAGGATGTGTGCTGAGTTCATCACCTGTCAAGTGCATATGGGTTAGTAAGATGAATCATATCATTCTGTTCAAAGGCATTTCGAAGTGGAAAATTCTCTCAAGTTCATTTCACTTTTGTTACTCAATTCTCACTTCATAAACCATTGAGTTGGGCCAGGTAAAATACAAGGAAATTCTATCGCGTGTACGTGATAAACAGCCAAAGTACAGCCGCGACGGATCAACAGAGTTAGTAGCCTTATCAGCCAGCTGTATAGCTCACACAATCGCTTGCAGAGTTTGACTCGTATTGTGGAAAGCAAAAACTTCTTCTAACATGCGAAAAATGTTTTTTTTCCTTTCAAAAGATCGTGTGCATGTTCAACTTCGTGTTCTGAAGTTGCTTCAGATTGTTGAAGCAACAGAAAATAGAACTCATCCAAAGCAAAATTAAATCGTTGCCTCCGTCCATATTCTATATGTCACGGATGGTCATAGGTTTCACATTCGCGGTGTAGGTCACCCATGTTTATGATCAGGTTGCCTGCTTGGGCTTAAAAGTGATGTTCTGTTACCAGTTTCCATTTCAAATAGTTTTTAATCACCACATTCACTGTTACAGAGAGGAGTTTGGTAAACAACCGGAACTTCTCAGTTTCTATCGAGACCGAATCACAATTCGCCGGATCAACGGAAGTGTCAGCGCCCTCACGGTGTCCCCGTACCCGGACAAACTGCACCAGCTGATAGCGACAAATAAGTGGAACGAAGCGCTTTCACTTTGTCGTAATGTCAAGGTGACATTTTCATCAATTTTCTGACAGTTATGCAGCAATTTATGAGATCCGTAGTTTTTTTGGACGGACCACACTTATGAACCTAAATACCGTATATTTTTTCGCATGAATCCTGAAACGGCAGGCACATCTAACCATTTCACCGTTCATCGGGCGGGGCCAAATTACCCAAATTACTCAGCTCACCGAACACATCAACAGCCACCCATAAGACGTACGCTACAGCGTTCCCTAAGTATACATGAGATATATCCTCGACCACTTTCTCCTTCGTAACATCAGCGATCAAAGTGTATTTTCGTCAAATTGGTGGATTTTGTATAAGCAACCGGATTGCAGTCGAGTACTAACTTATATTTAGCTTCAATTATCGTCGCGTTTCCCTATGCTTTTGAAGAAACTCCGGCACGTTGTGTCTGGATCTTGGGATGCTCCTGGTTATCGTTGTAACTGAACAGAGAAGCTTATTCGCAGTTCTTCACAGATCGCGTAACGTGAGTTAGGTTCCACAAGGTAGGTACACCGATGAGTAATGTGAAGCAAGGAGAATCTGGTTGGTTAGTCTAAGGAATCTATAGGCAGAAGTAAGATAAATTCACGGCAGCAGTAGTGGTGTGTCTCCTTTTTTGCGAAAGTAAACGGATTAGCTAAATATCAAGCAAAGATAGATTTGTATGAGATGATATAACTAGGTCGGGTTCAAAACACCTATTGCGGTCGTTACCAAAGACCCAGCAGTAAGCACCAATACACAAGACGTTCCTAATCTAGACGTAACGCGCTACTCACATGGTTACTGACAGTTTCTCCTAATCTTTTGGAAAACGCTTTCTAATCTATTTAAAAAGTGAAAATAAACGTTTCATGGAGCCATCTTCCAAGAGAGAAGATTCATCTATGGAATAAAGGTATTTGAAATCGTGATGACATCGAGTGTACACCTTCCAGTCCGATGCATCACACTTCGAATGCGAACAAATGGATTGTTTCAGTGAAGGCATCCAATTGGACAGACGTAAATTACTTTGACTCACTTAGACTGGTAAGATGGTTGCGGCTCATTAGACTGATAAACAGACAAAGTGGTAGCGAGAGGTGCACACCAGTAGTTTCACGAAATTAATTAGGTGTGCTGACCATACACGAGTGCCCTTCTGGCCTGTTGCAATATTCTATCGTCGTTATTAACCGTATCATTTGGGTAACGGGATAAACATGAGAACACCATTAACCGAAACTGCTACTGCATTATAATATCATCGCCTGCAAGAGAAAGCTATTCCAGCGCCTTTTTATGGGTGCGTGCATTGTGAATGAACGGCTAAAAACAGCTGATATCGGAATTTATATATTGAACTCATCGTTGATGACCAACCTTCAAGGAGCAATCCGAGATAGCTCAGTGGTTAAGGCCTGAGCTTACTGACTAATAGGTCCCAACCTCGCAATCTCGACTGCTGCAGTGTGGACTTAGGCAACCAAGCAGTAGCTTAACCTCTGTGCTCCTTTCGGGCGAAGTGGCAGCTAGGCACCGTGAGGGTTTTACTGCTTATACGATTACATTGTTATTATTACTATTATGTAGGTGCGGGTGGGTGTTGGATAATCCGTTACGTATTAAGAAGTATCGTCGGTTGTTCATTTTTATTCATGCCATGTACATAGCCTGTACGGCACTTGTAAGTTACCACTTAACTAAAACGCTGCTGTTCCCAAATACAGGACAAAATGCTGTGGGCCTGTTTGGCCGGCTTCGCAACGTGTGCGAAAGATTTGGACATGGCTGAAATCGCGTTTGCTGAGATTGAAGAAGTGAGTTCAAATCTGTCGCTTGCTACTTCGGTCACCTTCGACCGACGTAACTCTCGTTTCTATTCGCGTTCATATAGGAAAACGCTGTCAGAAGGCAATCCTTTCTATGAAGGAGCATTAACAACTGGTTCGAGGTATTCGAAATCCACACTATCAGACTAACCCGCTATCCCTATATTCTCACCCAGTTACGGGATCGTCCAGAGATCGTATATATTGCACACTACTGATGCACTTATCTGATATAAAGTTACAAATGTCGCGTATTATTTTGTAACTACGCCCACCTTTGGGCATTTTCCGGACAATTATGGGAACTGAGTTGCTGTACATTATATAGATACAGTAGCGGAAATCTAACACCGACTGTCAGTTAATGTAATTGTTGCATCGAAGAACGCCCGCTTCCACTCCCCGACTAGATTCGTCCATAAAGGACATCGGCACACTGAAACTATTTCAGATCCTCTACCAACAGAGCCCAAATATCGCAACCATATAATAACACGATCACACAGTAACTTTAAAACATTGAGTGGGTAAATCACTAGGTCTTCGGACACCGTTAGGCTGCTAAGTTCATTATCACGTTTTCTTTAAGCGTGATAGAGAAGAAACGGCTGATTTCCCTGCATGCACGGATAAGTTCAATATCCTGGAGTGTGTGGCCTTGAATCTTATGGTTTGGCGAAATATCGAGTGAGGGGAAGCCGTCGGTTATTTGTAGGATTGCAAAATTTATGACACTGTCGTTGCAATACCTGCTGATCTGCTCGTAATAATGTACACTCATGCAGCCATGCTTTTTATTTACGCTTGCTTGATTTGCAGGTTGATAAGGTGGAGTACATCCGTTACATAAAAGGTCTACCAAAGAAAGAAATGCAAACAGCAGAGATGTTGATGTTATCCGGTGAGTCGACACGTTCAATGTCTTGGCGTTTGCCATTACAATGTACAATTAGGCACTGGAAACAAATGTTTTGATATCCAAACTCATGCTGAAAAGGATGGTTCGCTTCGATCTAAAACGCGTTCCCCCATATCATACAAAGCGCTGGTCAGTCAAAAGATAGTTCATCACAATTTTCCCACAATCCAGTACCTATTCCAAAAAAAGATCATAAGACTTAGTGAAAAAGACCCCAAAGTAGGCTGTGACTAAACAACTGCTACCACCCGTCTCCATGGGAGTAGTCCTCGGGTGTGTGCCTAACCGGAGATAATATAGCGCATCCACAATCATGTTCCTTGCTTCGGCAGCCAAAATCCTTCATTCTGCCTCTTTTGTTCACGCTTTACAGGGGAGTATCAAGATGCTGAAGGTGTGTTACTTCAAGCCGGTTTATACTTCCGTGCAATCATGCTTCACCTAAACTCCTACAATTGGAACAGGTAAGAAAGTTTAATGACTTTTAATAGTTGCTGCGTATTTAACCATGGATTAAAGTCACCCGGTCAGTGATCAAAGGGTTATAATTTCAGGAACAGCCGTTTCACAGCAAGTAAGGAGATATTCGGAGCAACGGAGTTAGTTACACGACAGGCTACTGCGTTGTCTGGTTTTACTGTGACGGAGTAAATTCAATATCGGTTTGCGTAAGGCGTAAAAGGGATTTCATCACTAGTACTAGCTGGATAGGACAGAAGCTATGTTGTCGCAAAGGTGAGGTCTCTAGGTAGTCCGTGCATGAATTATCCTACATCAATGTCTATCGCCTTTTTTGAAGAGCATGGTCACATACATAAAAAGTGAATGAAAGTTATGAAAGTGAAAGGATTTCTGGAGAATATGAGATAAAAGAGAAAAACGTTTCATTTGAAGTCATGCCACCAACAGTCCCACTCAGATAAGATGAATCTCAAAGTATGTAAGAATGTTTGGTATGGAAACACGCGTAATGACCAAAGCCGAAGGAAGTACCACAATGTTGAATACTCTTCAAGGTGCGGTAAGTGCTAGCACAGTCAAGACTCGCACATCAGGCACAAAGTGCCCATCATACAGGGTCTAGTGTGAGGGTAAATGTACACTCAACGTCATGTGCCACGCATAAAAGTGTCGTAAGTACGCAGAAAACCCACAATCGCAAGCAAACACAAGTCACTGAGTGTGATCTTAAGAAGTCCCAGTTCAATAATAGTCTTGGTTGATTGAGGAAAGCAGATCCCTCGTTAAGAAATGATTATCGGTTGGTGGACCAAAAAGTCAACATCACAACCGATTGCACGTAGGGCTGAGATTATGGCGAGAGAATATTTATCAGAACCATACTTCTGCTTCTTCTCATTCCACACAGTCACTCCGCGCCCATCCGAGACTATGCTGATGTTTATTACAGTTGCTCCGCGCTCCCGAATAGCGATTGGGTCAGGCTTGATGAAGGAAGTCGAAGTAGGTGCACTCAGCTCCTCGAATGGTTACTTCAAAGAAAATACTAAATTGTCTATGCCCAAAATCACTGTGGCTTTCCACCTTACATGAACGACTAAAGTACAGGTAGTCAGTGCATTACAAAAAGAAATCCGGTCGTTTACGAGTAGTTTCCCCAAGGTAACATTTACGTACAACCAAATATTGGGTTTATAAGTATTCACAATGAGTTTTCCATAAAGATGTCTTCAGTGATTGCAAATTTGTCCTTTGAACATTTTTGCTGTGTTGCAAAACGAGAAAGTTTTGTCCCAGACATCAAAGTATCCAGTCTTCCGTGGCATTTTTACCAGGTAATGAGATGGCCCAAGTGGTTAGAGCGCGAATTTACTGACCGGAAGGTCCGTTGTTCGAACACTACTTTACAAACCGCACGCGACTCACGCGTGCGAATAACCACTTCTCTTCATTGCCGGCTGCTTCTTAGATTTCTGTTTTTCTTTCCGCTTTGTTCTTTCTCTGAAAGGGATACGCTTGCCTCTGATTTTCTCATTCACAGCAACTCCACTGACATAGGGATTGACTGAATCTGTTGCATATCTGGAGCTATATATTGTACTGAGTGAAGTTGTTGGTCGGTCTCGTGAGGGTACTTCCATTCTCAACATCTAGAAATGCCAAGACATTATCTTTACCTAAGTCCAAGTCAACTATACATTGGTTACTCAATAACCATCAGTCGGCCTACTGTTTTAATTGTTATTCTGTGCAGAACTCCTACTTTGTATTATCCGAAACTGACCCTATCAAGTCACCTTGGTTGGTCCCCTCATATCCAGAGAGTCCATTCTTTTACGTTATGAAACTGAGGAAGCTTTCCGTTTCCCCCAATCATATTAACAGGTCTGTTGTCGCTTGTATTCTCCTCACTTTGATTGATGACCCCCTTCCTCATCCCAGGAATCCTTGAGAAGGACTGCTTCCTTCCTAGACGCAGACGAATGTCGAGGAATATCTTGTCTAACAGTAAAAAAAACTTTTGGTGCTTGTACTAATTCACCCAACGAGTACTTTTTACCTTCTAATTCTCTGTCATGCACCTATCCTGCATACAGACTTACAGCCACCCGGACAAGTTTTGCCGGTGTATTGGCTCTGCTCCTTCAGAGCCATTCTAACAGAACATTTCGCGCGATATGGTCAAAACCCATTATACAGTTGCTTCCTTTACGAGGTAAATCCTGATGGGTGGGAAGAGAACAGCATCTCGTGGATTGACAGTCAGTTCACTGAATGTCATCTAACTGTCCACTAGTAGTTGTGCTCTACCCGCAGGAACAAATTTACGGAAACAGTAAAAGGTAGCAAATTTGCCAAATTTGGCATGCACAGCTGTTTTACGGATGTATTTTAAATGTAAGGGTACGAAATGGCATAGACGACCGAAAACTGATCGATCAATATCATGCAAGTTACTTCAGTTTCACTGAAAACCAGTTTACTGATCACCTCACTGATTTAAACTGATTTCAGCTGCAGTTCTAGCTGAACAGACACTCTTCTGAATTTTGTGAATTACTGGACCAGGCCTACAGCTTGCTTTTTGATTGTGCCATCTGTCATGGTCTGTGCTACAAAACGTCCTTCCTGGGTCCAGAGTGAGTACCTCAGAGTGAGCGACAGGGAATCTAATTCACCGGGTATCAATCTTTGATTTGGACTGTAACAATATGCAAGAATACCACACAAAAAACAACCATCCTCAAGTATTTTTTCTCAATGGGGCTTCAAAATGAAATTCGGACTTTAGAAACTATATCTAACCCTCAATGAGTCTAAACCGTTAACACGATTCTCAACACTTTCCCTGTGTAGGGCGATAGAACTGGCGATGAAATATAAACTGGCTCTTGACATTGTTCTATCGATGCGACAGGCATATCTCCAACAAGCCAATCGAACGGAAACCCTCGAACGATACCTTTCACAACCAAAACAGGTGAGTTCCATCGGTCTCAAACGTTTGCCTCAAATTCCGTCCACGAGGTACTTTGTCACCCTGAGCTATGATCTGTGGATTCGCGCAGAACGCTTAATTACAAAAGCACAGAACAGTAATTCTTAGGCAATTTCAAACTGTGAAATGTCATCCCCCCGATCCTTGTTGGTCAAACGTTGGATAGTTTTATCTGAAACGTCCGCTATGAAGTCATCAACATTTCCACGATTTTCACTCAAGGCTATTACACTGAAGTAACTTGATACTGATTTACTTGTACCAAAAATGAGACCGATCGGGGGATAAAATCAGTCAAGAAAACATCAAACTGAGCGTATTTGAAAGGGATGTTTCCGCATTCTCCAGAATTGTAGGGAGTTTAGTAAAGCCACTTTTAGCCTCTAATCCGCTTCGACCCGTACGTTGATAAAAGTAAAAATGACCCGAAACTGACAAACTCCGTGTACTAAAGCGGAATTTCCATATCTGTTGTTCAAAGTAAGCTTCTTGAAAAAAAGGATGGAGTCAATGAAAATACAATTGGAATGATGGAGCAGCCAGAAACACCTCACCGCTCGCATGCGGATTGCTTTTGACAACGGTACTTCTGATGATACCTAACCCGCTAGTCTGCTTGCAATTAGCATTTTTCTGAGTTCAGGAGCGACAGAAGAGTTGGTGTAATTATTTCTGGCAACCACTGGCAACATTTTCTTCAACAAGTACACGTTTTGAGATAACGACTAACTAGACATTCACCTTCTCCCAATGGTAGTCCAAAAAGAAGCACAGCGATTATCATACAAGTCCACAGGATACTATGGTAGAAACACAAGCCTCCACGCGACAGACCGTCGTCGACGACAGATAAAACTAGTCTGTCAGTGGGCAATGGGAACAAAAAACAATAGAAAAAATAGTGATCCAAACAGCTCACGAATCATATCAACGACCAGTATTGCCCTGGTAAGTGCTTTCAACTACCAGGTCTTCAATCCTCGTGTGTTCCAGTCTAGGACTATTGGTGCAGAACATTTACATACAGGCTTTACGCCCAGATGCACAATAATATAACGACACTATGGCAGTAGGCTCAAATGCAATCCACGTATAAAGTTCGGCGAACAGACCAACTGCTACCCGATCAATAGTGATACAGCAGAACATCGTCAGTCAACAATGTACGTGTTTTCGCACCGAAATACACGATCTAAATTTTCGTACCTCATGAAAGTTTTTAGTAACTGATCGGTCGAGTCTACAAATCCCTTATCAACCTGATATTTCTTTTCTCTGCAGAACCTCCTCAGTACGAACGCCTTAAAGGAGAGGATCGAGAAGGAATACGAACGCGAACAGGCGCATAGAGAAACCGGCAATACAAAGCCAACTTCCCCGCAAAATCGCTCTCGGCCGACGATTGTCACATGAGATTTGTGTGCAAATAAACTGTTGAACAAAACTGGGGCTTCCGGATAATTTTAAATAGTTGTGTCTATCCACTTCAAAAGCTGCTTGACCCCAAAGGGAGGTCTGCTCATAAACATTAACTCTGGTGATTGAAAACCCTGTTATGGACGAATACTTACACAACTGCCAATGCATAAGAGAAACGCATACGAGATTGACTACGCAGGCTAGGTTGGGAAAAAGCTTAGCTCGAAATTACCACTTCCAAACTCCAAGGTCAAACGACTGATTTCTTTTATACTAGGATTATGAAGAGGTTATAAACGATCCCTCAACTATTCAAAACTAGTCGGGTTTTCTACGTCTGGTTTATCCCACCACTTCTTTCATAAAGACAAGGAGCACAAACAAGATGAGTGATAAACTGGCTTTGAGGTTATGAATACGAAGTTTGAGCGTGAAGGTCAGGGCCTGAAACATCCGTTTGATGAGCCCCAACCAGGCCGATGCCCGATACAAGCCATGATTCCCAAGAGATACTCCGTCTACATTGGAGTTTGCCATCCAACTTCACAATACGCACCTTGAAATTGGTTCGATTCGGACTTCGTTGACCCGCACGGGAATAAGAAGCGCTGTAGGCTCACTTTCCTAATTTAGAATCACCAAAAGTACGCGTTGGTGAGTTCTATGGAACTTACGCCCACGATCTATCGTATTAAATTAACATCGCAGGATGCCCAATACGGTCAATTTTTACTTTGAACCTCATTGTCTCCGGTACGTCTACGGAATGAGACATTGGAAACGACACTGGATGGTCACCTGTACCGATCTTATTGTGAGTCGTCAAGCATTGGCAACTGCGACCAGGGATGTTCATGCTCATTCTCTCGAGGGTTAGTCACATTAAAGCAGACACGCAAGACTTAACAGGTAATCTGGAGTCGGACAGACAAAGGCTCTTTGACTCATTGGCAGTATACTGGCCGAGATGAACATCTCATCCCTCAGTAAACCGCTATCGAGTTCCGTTCTTAAATCATTTATTCCGTGAGATACTTAGTTTATCAAATTGTGATGTGTGGCATGGCTAACTCCCACCGTCAATGATCAAGAAACTCGGAACGAATTCATAGTACCTGAACGTGCTTCTTAATACCGTTAGCTTCAGTTTTTCACGTTCATGAAGCATGTTATGAAATTCAGTGGACATTATAGAATATGTGCTGTCGAACTCTCTTCCTTGTTAGATCCCAAAGCATTAGTGTCACGGTGTGGGAAGTAACGCGGTCCATTAATGGTTCACTTATTGCAGAGCAATTGACAACTTTGCCGTGCTGGGGCATCAGATTCATAGTTCGGTGGTCGGGTGTGCGACAGACTGCTGGGTACCGTTATCGTTTCGTAAAGTCCGTTCGAACTTTCCACTTCGAAAAATTGCTGCCAAGACCAGCATAAAACAAGAATTGTGGTCTCGCATAGCGTAGGTGAGTAAGACCGTTTTCAAACGTCACAAAATTAGCACACCGGACTTCGTGAACAAGTTGGATTGAAATCATTGAGTCTCATATTGTCCAATTCACGTTACTAAGTAATGTGCTGTGCCGCCCATCCCTGACATCGAGAAAATGACTCGTTCAGTACCAAGAAACTTCGCTCAGGCTGAATTATGGTGTGCAGCATATTTTCTAAACATCCTACGTGGACTTGTAGACTCTGCCTGTTCTAACTTGCGATTCGATCAGATGATGAACTACCGTCCTATCAAAAACCCGGCTCCCGCTACCACAATTTTTCTTTGAGGAAAAACCAGAACTACATGGAAAATGAGACCGTTAGCTTGCATTTTAGTTCCTGACACTCCGACCTCTCCCCTAAGCCTTTGTTTGAATCGCAGTAGATTGTGTACCATTAGTGAGCTAAGCCGATTGACTTTATCTCTCTGACTGTCGGGGAGGATATAATCCACGAGGTCCAAGTGAGCATCTTCGCGCCGCGATGTGCATTTATGTGGATTGGAATATCCATAACTCGTTTAATGGGGATGACTTGTCGGAGAAATTGGGCGGACTTATCAAGACTTCACAAGCACAGTCAAATCAGTGACATATTTTCGTGGCACTGACCAGTGATAGCTTCGTTCGTTTGCTTCTTCTCCATTTACTAGCATTCTGTAAGTAGCAAAAGTCTGACCCCAGTTTCGACTAGCTTGAACAGACAACAAGAATCTTGTGGAGGTTGACGTGACCGGAAAATTCCCTCATTCGCAGCTAATCAGGTTACAATCAAGTGGAGAATCGTGCGCTAAATTATGTAATTCCTCGTCGACATTCTTAAGGCATTGTGGGAGGCATAACTGTAAGGGTGAAGCACCGAGGATGACTAGAAACAGTAAATGACTGCGCTGGGGAAGCAAAGAATATGCGAGAAAATTGTCACGGTGAACTGACCCACGAACTGACTTAAACAAAATAAATAGGTGTGTACATGTATTAATACAACGGCAGTTCCTTGTTTGAGATGAAATGGTGGGCAACATGGATGCAGTTGCGACCAGCGTAAACAATGAAGATAGACTTCGCGACTGGCAAGAAACGCACCCGGTGAACCCATTGGTGTTAAAAAGTGCAGGAACGCAGGAGGCATCTACGCCGTTTCATAAACGCAGCAATAGAACACTGACTGTGAATTATCAAGATCTCAAACACCGTATTCAACAGCAGGCGTGAAACAAACGTCAGTGACGAAACGTTGTCCAAGGTTATATGATGAAGAGTGGAGTGGAGTAAGCACCAGGGTGGATGGCTTGGGTCAAACGTTTTTCGGGTTCACTCTCGGATGGTGTGTTCTACTTAACATGGGTTAAAAAAAGGCAAATATTTCCGGTTTTTGTTGTACAACGGGAGAGCCCTTGAGAGATCAACCCTGCGAACCGTTTCGCAGACATCATTTCCTGCTCGGGCCTCTTGCTTTGACCCCTACAGTATGAGAGGGGCATCTAAACCTTGATGGACACTTCATAGCTCAAAAGTTGGTTTCCGTTGATGTCCACTCGCCGTTTATTAATTCCTCGATATATTTAATTACCTTTGTGAATATATTAATGCAGGTAGTGTCTCACTAATCAACTACGAAAGGACCGCACATTACTCTGTTTACAGGCACGTAAGTGTTACTGGTGTGAAGAAAATTCGCACCAGCTGCTACGACTTAAGTCACCAGAAAATGGCGGAGGGAATATAGCCAAGCACTGAGGGAATTACAAGAGATACAACCCTAGTTGACATCTTTCTGAAGAAATCGAAGAACTATCTGGTGATTGAGCATTTCCTCCCCGAGCAAACACCACGGTGGGTACAATATCGAGGACACAAGACCCGCTCTGCGTCAGTCTCTTTGGGGGAAACAAACTGGTCAGGACAAATGAGGAGAGATTCCCCTCCCAACTGGTTGGATTACTCTGAAACAGTAGATAACGCAGCGCAAACTCACTAAGTCATTGGTTCAGATTTATTAGTTAGTAGTTATTTATTAGTAGTATCTCCAATATTTCGTTGTAGAAACGGCACGTTGACGCAATATCTGTTTGGCTGAATGAGAGGCAACAACTAAAAAGCTTATATGCGCACAAGCAGGCCAGACACAGGGACAAACTGAGGGCATACCTACCGCGAACTAATCTCAAAATTAGTCGGAAAAGACAAGTTTGTACAAAACGAATGAATTTATTATACAAGGTTGCGAGAAAAGCTCGAACAATGCAAAATCAGTCCGCCGTGGGCACAGACCCAGTGGATTCAGACTCTCTGCGCTCGATGTCTGGATCTGAATGCACATCAACATCGCTGGAATCTGGTTGTGACTTCATTTCAATGTCTGTGGCCGGGAAGCCTGGAGATGGTGGCTCATTCTGTTGCGTCACATCCGCGCTTTGTTGCCTAACTTCCGCTAAAGCTTTAACAACAGCCTTAGCTGCCTGCGCTTTTTGTGCTTCCAATTTTGCCATCAGCACATTAACCCGTTCTTCATACAGTTGATGAACATACGTAGTCATGTGCAACATATCTCGGATGACCACAGGAGACTGCGTAATCATATCAGTTTGTAATCGCTGGGATGATGCAGCCATTGGACTTTGAGGATCCTGAGACGACAAAACAAGAGGGTGAAACAGTTCCAACACGATAAAACTGTGCGAACAAACGGATGGAAATGTGTCTTCATGAGGAAATCATTACTGATAATGGTCTTGCGACGTACGTCGGATAAAAAGGGGTGAAAGAACCGGTAAATTGCCGTGGCTAGGCTCTAAGGATAGTGAAAATTGCATTAAACCTCACTCTTCCCAGTTTTCTATGGTTGCTTTTGTGAATTTCAGCTTCGTGGTGGGTTCTGTGGTATGTGAAAGCTGAGTGGTGTGAATTCCAAGTGTTTTTGTTTACTACGATAAAATTGAGATTCATGATGGAAACACTCAGTATTGCTGACTGGGTGGACAAGTTGTGCACCGATTAGGGAACATTGATAGCATCACAATCCATACAGTCCTGAGGAAACCGCTTTGCTAAAGAATCCACCAAATGATGAGGAACGGACAAAGATCATTCTCGGAATCTGAGAATCCATCTTCCCAAAAGCAAACACAATATTGTGTAAAAGAGTTCGCTGGACATAGCGTCCGACAGATGCGCCGATAGATGTCGGGGGCACAAATAAACTAAAGTCTTAGTTAACTCCCTGAATCGGAGTTAAGCGCGATAAAATATCCACATCAACCTGTTGTCCGATTAGACTCAAAGACCAGTCAGGAACACGACGTGGAAAGTGATACTTTGGCAGTTTGATGCATGACGGTATTTGAGGCGTACTACCGAATGCTGAGCTTATAAAAAATGCAGATATTCACCAAATGAAATGCTGACAACCAACAGATGTGTCACCACTTCAGAGTAACACCGAAAACTGTCTTTCAGTTCATAAATGGACACTGTTGCTCTTTTAACGGAGAATTTCAAAACGCAAATTCAAAACCTTACAGCGTTATCGCGCTGTCAGAGTTTAAAGGTGGGCGCATCTTTAAGCTTTATTGGGGCGCAACAACACCACCCATCAAAAGCAGAGTTTAACACTTCACTTCCAGCTCTTGGATACACTGTCTACTAATCTTACGGCTTGAAGAGGTACCAAAGTGAAGCTTCTTACGCAGCCGATTAAAATACGGTCATCAGGGTCACTCTATGGGGAATTCACAACAAACTAGAGGCTCCATATAATGCACAAACAGATGTTTGAAAATGATAAGAATACTACTGAGGTGATAAGTACGTTCGTTTCGAAGTATAAAACAGAACTCTAAATATTACAGGCAACTTACAATCCAGCATTCCCATGGAGTTAAATGCAGTTGTGGTGGCCTAGCCCAACCTGGTCCCCGCACATTCATGAGCAAATCGAATGCAGGTTTCAGTTCGGGGCACGTGGCGAACTGATCAATACGCGCGAACACATAAAGCCCGAGACGAGCTCTAGATAGGGCTACAATTAGACGCCGTACATCACGTAAATGACCCACTGTTCTTGTACGTACCAGGGAAACCAGCACATAATCGTTTTGTTGGCCCTGTAAGTAAGGAAGAAAGGTACACAGCGGTAGAGTAAATCGTCACACGAGGAATTTCTGGTTAATAAGGAAACTCAGTCAAGTTGGAAATAGCACCACAGTGGTGACGACACGAGAGTGACAGGTGCAACGAATCACCAGCCCATATAGAGAGCATTCCTCCACCGTGGTAGCTCTCTGTCGTCTCCGTCAAGTTCCAGTAATATTCTTCGCAAAATAACTTCCTTCCTCTCAGATCCCTTAATTTTTCCAGCGATTAACTACATAACCGACTTTTTAAAATAAACGCATAAATGCGAGGGCTACCTTACAATCTGTTTGAATTCAAAAAAGCAAGGTTACGGTAGCTTCGTCTGGGCCCACCTTGCTTGAGCGGATATTTGTGTCCAAATCATCTCGCGACCACTTCCGAGGGATCTCTTTGTAGCTGAGGACCTAATCCATGAGATTCGAGGCATAAAATTTTAGGAGTGCGGAAGAATAGTTACACCAGACTTCCAAGTTACTCGCTTGCTCTAGCACATGCACACTTTCAAGCTTACAGAGAGTCATTTGCTCGACTATACAGAGTCAGTCTAACTACCATGCCATCTTATTTGAACCGATTCTTCCAGTATAGGAATCATATTAAAACTCGTTTACATTTCTTGCATAGAATGTGTCAAACAAATGTTGCGTGTTTTTAGAAAAATGTGAAACGGAATGATTACGATAGCCCTAGAAAGCATCTCTTCTCATTTGAGAGCAAGCAGCGTGAATATTGATTAAATATCGGACTAGGGAAGAGCAAAATGAATAGAACCTTGTGTAACCTCCGTCTAACGAACGAGAACACTTAGAGGACCCGGTCAAATTACATTCAGTCTGCGAGTCTAATCATCAAATATGCTTTGCAATCGGCAGTAGGTTTTTGGAATGAGCACTGTCGGGATTTCAATGACCCAGAAGGGCACACACACATTGTCTACATTCAAAGCACCTCCGTTCAATCGAACTTTGAGTAGTATTGGAATCAATCAAATCGAGGCGTCCCGTGACAAGCTGTCACTGATAATAAGTCGCTGGAATCCGGAAAACGAACATTAATGTAGCTGACTAAAAAGGCCGACAACTAGCTTGCTGAATGAAACATGCGATTCAGTTTTAAATATCTATCAGTGTTGATAAATTTTTCTGCTTCGTTGGAGTCCCTGACTCCACCAACACCTCTTTCGATCATAGCTCCTCACAATTTGAAACACTGTAGCTGAATTGTAGCTAAGGAGTCACTTTCATAGTTTCCACTCTCCGGAATGAGAGTCTAACGGACAGAGTTTAACAAAAGCGTCCCAAGTTCCATTCAATAAACGTATCTTCCTGTTATAATCTTGAATTTAAAGCTCACTGTAGCTAGAATGAGCTCGTGTTGCGGTACAACCCGAATTAAAATTTACCTCTCAAGAGTATTGATAGCTGATAATCTGACAGAGACGATCATCGGTTCATCGCAAACAATGGTAGACAACCATCGTAAAAGACTAACAGAATCACAGGAATTAAGGTATCTAGCCACTAAGTTGGCCAGCTTGGGAGAAAACATCCGTTCCAAAATGACAACCTAGCTATTTTATGGTACAGAGGGAACAATTTCAAGCAGTGTTGAAGGGAAATTGAAGCACTCAGTACGATGGGCGAATGGATCCAAAAATACGACATGCGCCTGGATCAACACATTGCATAGTCCACAGGCCATCAATCTCAAAATATCGCAGATGGACCAACCTGAAATCGATCCACGGTTGTGATTTTACTCGGCTGACCCAACAGTGGATTTTTCGCGCACCGTGCGGCGACCACATCACGAATCAAATGTTTCTGACCATTGTACGTGGTCAGTATGGTGATGCGTTCAGCCGGGTAGCCCAGGATTCTCATATACATGTAGACAGCCACAACGTACTCGGCTTCGGCAAGATTTTGGAAGAAGAACGGACTCGGTTCAGATTCGCCAACTCCTGAATATGCAGAAGATGCAGATAGATAATGAAGGGCGAGGAAGTGGGAGGCGAGTGAGAAATGGCTGAATGATCGACAGATCTAGATAACATGAATCGTCTCCAGTTAACTGGTCATGATGATGCAGAATCAAACTCCGTGTTTAAGGATGTTTCACTCCTGAGTATCACTCACAGTGGAAACGGAGGGTGGTTTGACATTCGAGATACAAGCTGGGTATATCTTCGGTGTAATGAAACACCTGGTAAGAAAGACGTTATTGATATTCCAAATTTAGCTGCGCCTATTAATAGTCTCTAGTGTGATAACGAGAACAACGGTTTAAATGGCCTTGGAGCTCTTGACGTGACGCGATGTGGTAAACGCATACTCCACAAGGCCAAAATTCTGTCTGCTGCTCTCGGATATGTGTCGAGCGCGACGCTAGGGTCAGGCGTCACAGTCCCGTCGAAACAAGCAGCCGCATCCCTGATCGAAGAAACTGAGTCCAGGACCCCTTTTGAATAAATAAACGATGATGGATTGGCTCTAGGTCTCTGGAACGCCTTCCTGCTCCTAAGTTTAAACACCCTGGTCAAGGTAGACCACAAACGCCTCGGAAACATCAAAACCCCACACAGGAGGGGGGCATTGGCTCAATCAACCCTCCATGTCGGAGAGAGGAGTTGCTAGTTTATGATGAGATATATTTTTCGCCTAACCAGGGTTACGCAGACTGCAACCCCTTCGAGGATATCCAACACAAATGAACCCTGATTAAGGATCAGGTAAATTCTGCAAGTATGGCACCATTCAGGATGAACTTCATGGATGTTGAACTGTTGAACAACCATGGGACAGAGTGGTACAAAATAAAAGATAGTCTGAAATTGTTTTTCAGAAACAGTTGGGCTGCATACATCATTCGGCGGAAACCGAAGCTTTACATAAGAGCGGTATTTTGTGCATCGCCGTCTGCAAAATAGCCAGATCGATAATCAGGTACCTGTTTTTATCTGTTGGTTCATTTATGAGTGTGACGCAAGATGTGTGAGTCATTCAACTCTATGTTTGTCTCATAGAATACTTAGACAATTGGGCAGAACTGCTCAAGCGCCTGTGACTTGAGCTGCCAAAAACGTCACTTGAAAGCACTGGATCGACAAACCCACTACTCGTTACAAACGACTCAGTGCTTCGATACACTGGGACAGTACTTCTGCACTTCAATGAACCATATTTTACTCACATATATAGCTACAGTTGCTAGATGAGACTTTGAAAAAATAAGTGTTACGAGATAGATTCGGACTACCAATTCCCATCTTGTCCTCAGTTGTCTGTGTGTTCCCTGTAATACAAGCACCTGCAGTTTCCATTAAAAATATAACGAATTGCTCTTAGTCTATATTACTTTAAGCTAGTTTTCTTTGCGTTTCCAGGCCATATTAACGTCCGGCCGATTGCCCAAGTCAAGCAGAGTTCTCAATTCTGTTGACAGTATTCCGCTGTGGATTAATGAGGTAAATGCACGGAGAATCCCAGAACCCCACATGCATCAATGTAACAGGGAGTAACGGCTCCGAAGCGGCTCCGATCTCTCTCAAAATGTTGTCATTTCACCCTAATTGCGTCAAGTTAGGCTTCTATTCAAAAGGTGCTAGATTCCTTACCGGTCTTTAATAATTATGTGGCACATTGATATTACACACTTCAACAATGGCAAAACATCAAAGCGTGTGAAATTGAAACTTATTTAAAGTTTCTAGAAGGTTGTTGATCACTGGTCTATTACTAGGATTGAAAATTCAAACAAAGGGGTCATTGAGATACCTGAGTTAGAGGGAGAATGTGGCAGCAAACATAAAAGAAACGAGAAATGAATTCTACCTTTATAGTCATCCACGTTGATCAACTGCACGTCATATCGAAATCCCGGATTAGCTAACCGGAATCTGGGCTCACTGATGGTATGCGGAAGATCTCGCAACATCCGATAGCGCCAGCTGTATAGACAAGAAAGACTGGGGCGAGCTCGACCTTGAGCATCGAGTTGAACAGTTGGGACACCCAGTTTTACAAGCCGCGCGAACAAAGACTGACCCATATTCGAATAGTTGTTGAATGCCTGCATGGAATGGTGGCAAAGAACAGCGGAATACATGACCATATTTGAAGGAGGCGTAACATGCTTCAGACAAAGTAAGGTTGCTAATACGTCACAGAAAGGCTTGTTGATCTTTTTTCAAAGCGACGCAAGTCAAACAATCATTTCTTCTGAAATAGGGGGATTCCGCTTCTCCTGTAAGGTGGTTTCTCTTCGGGGGCCCGCAGAGTAGGTTGTCGTTGATCGACAACACCTTTGAGGCTCTACAGTGCAGTCGACTTGTAGAAATCCCTACTTACGGGCACCACTGTATAGCTGGCACGGATAGTTCCAAACCACATGCGCATACAGACCTTAAAAAGCCTTTAGCAGGGACTAGTCGATTAATAAATAAATAATAACAATGCTGGGGTGTGATTCGAACCAAAGACATTAAGGACAGTAATTTTGCGCCTTAACCACTGAGCTATCTCATTTGGAGTTGTCAGGCAGGCCTAATATGACATAAACAGACTTGATTTCTCGATCGAGCTATGAATTATGAGATCGGAGTAGCTCCAAGGGGCATTGATATTAAAACCAGGAAAGATGAATCACAGTTTGGTAAATTCGACCGGAACATATCAAGTGTACGTTAGTACATGAGTGAGCGTTTCACAATTGCGGGTCGCACCTGATTTTGGACGACGGGTGGCAATTGATTGTGATCTCCAATCATAATCCAACGTTTCAGGCGGTTGCGTCCAGCCAAGTCAGGATTCTGCAACAAAAGCGGAATGAATGTTTCGATCTCCAAAATTTGTGCGGCTTCTTCCATTATGATCGTGTCGTAAGTGAAGCCCAACTGGACTAAATCTCGACGGCGTAATGCTGCATGCGTACACGTCATCGCAATGATTTTAGCCTCTTGCACGAGCAAGTAATTGGCCCTTTCGGTACCTGTGCGCATTAGTTCGAATGCACGAAATTCGTCCAGTTGTACAAAGATGGAGTGGAGATATTGGAAGCACGCTCGAGCCATTGCCATGTCTTCGATCAAGCTGTTACCCTGAAGTCGGGAAAAGTGGATATGAAGTTATGAGCCGCGAACTAATTTGCAGCTGCAGGCTTTTGGAAATAGATAAAAAGGAATAAAGCCCTGTAAGCCGAAAATCCTTGTTTAGCCACGAAAGAAGCGAGGGTTTACTCGCAGCCTACACAGTTATAGAGCTTAGAACGTTGAAAGGGTTGATGAACAGTTGCGGTAAGATCGGTAGCATAATGATCTTGAAGTGCATACGGGACAGGGTTGTTCGCGAAATACATTTACTCTCAGACCAAGCTAGTTTCAAAGGAAGACTCAACCGGACCTTAGATGAAACTTTCGTTAAACCCAGAATGTGTGTAAATAAGTATGGCTCGTGAATTCCCCAAAATCGAAGTTCGAGAAGAACGTAAGACTGACGGAAACCCTGGGTTTGAGCCTAACTGATGAGCTTCAAGAAGGGCGACGCCAGTCGTGAGCTGTAGCAGAGTTCTCAGTAATTTTGTGAGTAGTTTTCTTTAAGGGCTGTTATCTGAGTGGGTGGATGTACGGTTGGGAACATATAAGGATTTTGAGCATGGCAAAATCGCAGCTATATGGATTTTATCAACACTCATGATCACGGAGTGCTATTTCTATTGGTCAGTCCGAAGACATTTAACGTACGAACTGAGAATAATTCGCAATTCAAATGCTGGTTTCTGCACAGACCCATCACACCAATGCGATCCTCAGGTTGGTCACAGACAATACATGGTTGAAGCTATCAAAACTGAAATAGCCAAAGACATGAAGCAACCAACACACGGAATACACCAGGCGATGAGAGAGTTAGGGGGCATAGGTTCCAGTAAAATAAGTGGTTGGGAATGCAACCAGTCAACAAGAGGGGACTAGTGTTCAATCAGGCGTTTTAGTAAGCGAACTCGATACAGTAAATGTACATGATCACTCAGCACCGTAAACGATCTGCCAGCTAATCGTCCGGCACAAAAATAAACAAGTTTTATGCTGAAGTTGATCATCGTGAGCGTATCGACCGGTGGAGCCAGCACATACCTGAATGTGACAGTTTGAATCTTTCAGTAACGATCAGTTACTGCAAAATTGCATACCAAAGCTAACTTACGGCGAATAGTTGAGCCATAACTTCTGGTGCGGGTAACGATTGACCAGTAAAGAACTCAGTAAATGGGAACTGAGATCGTACAATTGACGGGTCGTAGACGGTGGTTCTCCCGTCCTGGCCACCCTCCAATGTGGACTGGGACGGAGCATGAAGCGCCATTTTGCTGACAAAGTCCTCCCACCGAGACAATACTTCCTGGATGAAAAAATACTGCGCCGTTTCGCAGGTGTACATGTCTATATTCGTTTGATCAGATATTGGGTCCACTGTTTCATTTGTTGCCGGTGCAGCGGTATCTGTAGAGATTGATGGGTGATGAAAGGTTTTCGCGAGACGCATTACCTGTGAAGCAAGCAGAAGTATGAAACGAGAACATGCAGCAGGATTAACATATAAAAGTGATTCGCAAAAAATACCGATGGGACTGGGTGTCGAAACTCTTGTGGAAATGTCCTACGGAGTGTACGGAGACCTCTCATATCCTTCACATAAAATAGTGAAAATAGGTCGAGAGAGTTCATTTGTGTACTCAAACAGAAATAAATTGTCTTTCGGTGCACAGCTGAAATGCGAACAAAGTAGGAGGGTTGAGATATTGCCTAATTGCTTAGGTGTAGATCACCATCCTCGAGAACTACCTCGAGTTGTTGTAGTCAAAGGCCGCGTTTTGAGTGACAATAACAGTGGCATACACAAGATGACGGTAACGAAAAGTTTAATTAATCGAATATCGCTTGTTCGCTCTTCTTCAGGAGCAGTATGGCGGTGTTAACGAAAGAGCAGATGAACACACGAGTGCGCCAATAATATACATCTCAACAGCAGAAAATAAACATAAGTAGATAATAGCGACAGACCTCTTGAAGGAGTTGTATACGTTTAGAAAGTATATAGTCGACGCGACCATAACGTGAGAAATCCTTCTCCGTTTCCAGGCTTTCTTCACCGTGACCCAGACGCAGCAAATGGCGTTCATCCACATCCAGTGCGATGATCTTTTCGAACAGCTGGTTTAAGGCTTGATTAGAATGGGTGACAATCAGGATGCTGTTGGTAAACAAAGTACAGGGTAAGTTAATAAGTGGTATTAGCCAAAAGTTTTGTTTGTAAAGTATCTGAAAAAGTATGTCATATAGTGTGTGTTTCTCTCTAAAGTAAGATTCATGTACTGATGAATTGCACATAATATGGGCCCAGTATGAACTCCCATTGTCAATGTTCACATCAGCCTTGATTGAACTGCTCTGATGCGATTATTCTGATTAGTCCGCACGGGAAGCATCGCGACAGGAAGGCCGTACGAACTCAGGAAATACGATTTACGTTCCCCCAAGATTATCAGTGTCCAGATCACGGATACCTATACGTAATGTCGTAATGTCCGGCATTCCCAACTTCTTCGACACACCGAAAGGTAAGGTCATTTATAGAGTGGTATAGCGGTGGACCACCATCAGTGCGGGTGTGAATGCCGACCATGTGTACGAAGTTACATTAGAGTGTTCGTACTTATTCCATTCGCTCGACTGAACACATTCAAACTGGTGTGTGTGCAGTAGATGAGAAATGGAGCTACTGTCTGAGTAATCTGAATCGCGGATTTTCTTGTCGGAGCGTTCCTGTACAAGCATGTGCATCATCCACTGGCACTCAGTGGGTCAGTGCTCCAGCTATTTTAGTCACGTGTATCCATCGTAAACATATTTAGCAGTTGACAAACACAACCCATACTCAACCGGTGTGTTCCAAGGAAGTAGTGCTAAACAGCGCCATTGCTGTAGGTCATCAGGTTGGCTTCAACCAACTACAAAATAGCATGGAACTACCGCAGTGGTTCTCAATGGAGTGAATTCTAGAGGACGTGGAACCTCAGATTTGGAGACGCTAACCATTAGAACTCTGATTGTTGGTCCGATTCATCCGATGTTTGAGTAGTTCCGCACTCAGCCTCAGTTATTTCTATCTTTACAGCTGGTGACTGATACATGATTTCGACTTGTACACCAGCAATTCTAGGCGCCTTTTAACCTGTTTTGGGTGTACCCATGAAATTCTACGCACATAATGCGGCAATAACCGGCTGCAACGTTGTGTGCTTTTGTTCTCAGTAGACTCATGCTACAGTTGCATTTTTTGCACGGATGAGGACAAACACGTGAGGAGGTCCAAGAGATTCACTGGACAGAGCACACAAAAAGGGTACAGCAATGTTCTATTAATAGTCACAGAGTACATAATATACAGCCACGACCAGTCAGCTGACATGAAAAAACTGCCGAACGGAGAGTCAACCGGGTAAAACATGTTACATCACAGGCTCAGATCCTGCGTGACATCGACTGAAATGTACTGTGAAGCGACATGGATTTTTCCATATTGTCCCTGTTGTTTTTTCCGGTCGATAGTTTGCAATTTAGGCTTCCATCCCTTATAACTTCACTGTTGTTTGTGCTAATCAGGATGTGAGGGCTGTTCTCCCACTCGGTGTCAACAAGTCCATCTATTTCTCCAAGGCTCGCCAAATATGTTTTTTTTTAAATTATTACTAACTTATTTTCAACCAAAAGGTGCAGGCTGCGTAGCGAGAATTTCGTTCCTCAAGGTGTAACCACTAAGACTAACAGATATCAGCGACCAAGACCAGCCAGCCACACACCACAAGCAATTATAGTGCGATGGGATTTGGACATAACTGGGTACTGTTCGTTGTGACAGGTATAAGAACACAAAGGGGATTCACCCAAGCGACGAGTATCCCCATATTTTTGTGGAAATAACAATGTTGTCATCCTCCAGGAAAGACAGGTTAAATCCTGTCTAATTGTCGACCGTTACTGACAGCACATTAGTAACCTCACTCCCTGCATCGTCAGACTAGGTTGGTCCTCCGCAACCAACTGAACTAGGCTCTCGAGTTGTTGACCTCGGGAGAACTGTCTCAAGAAGAGAGGATCGATCCGTTGAATTATGGCTCAGACTGTTACTCCGAAAAAGTAACAACCGAAACGCACTGAATGTTCGAAAGTTACAACAGTGGACGGTCAAGTTCAATCAGGAACTTTAACATGGAATGCTATGACAGGGATACGAGCGCTAGACCCGAAAGTCGTTACAAGCTTTATTAGGAAACACAGAAGCGGTATCGAATCAAACTAGCTGCTCTGTTTGGAAAATTAGGGAAGATTACAGAAGCATTCTACTTGACGGAACTTCGCACGGTAGTTGGTGGGAAGATGGAGACGGAAATGCATGCCCCATGATAGGCGAAACAGGTGATGAACTATCCAGTGGTAGTGGTAGTATACGATATGGATGGCTTCATCATCCGATAAGGCGATTCCAAAGTAATTTTAATACTCCGGGCGATATGTGGCGCAGATTACCATAAGATCTGCCTTGGAGAGGGATTCCAGTTGTGGGATCAAGTTATTATCAACCACAAAGGACACCAAAACAGATGTCGGATCGGTGAACCATGCAGACATTCCGATAGACGGGCTGTCCAATTCAACAGTCCCCATGCGCAAGACGAGTGATGAACACGGATCAAGGATGATGTCCGAACGGTTGCGAGTAAAACAGCTGGAAAGACGTTGAGACCTGTTTTAATGAAAGTGGTGTATCTGCATCTTTCCTGGTCGATGAAGAGTTTTTAGCGAGGCGCTTAGGCAAACACTGGATTTTTAGCTCTAGCGAGGCTTTGCTGTGCGATGACCAAACTGTTGGGGCCTTACGCGGACAGCAGAGGATCCAATCCAACACAGATCGAAAGTCCTACGATAGAATTTTCGGAGCACTGAAAGAAGTGCAGCATCTCTGAAGCATTCAGGACATCCCGACCGGTCGAGCGTCTGACACCTCAGAAGACACATTCTTCAAAAATAACAGTTCATCTAGGGCGGAGTAAGATCTTGCAGTTGCCTCTAGCCTGCAGGACGCTGAGCCATCCCAAGCCACCTACGAAGTCTGAACTTCGAAAGGTGATAACCTAACTTCCAGCAGAAATGGGTGAATCAATCTTGACAGACAAATTTTTTCCACCTGATATGCACAATCTGGAAAATCGAAAGTCCCATAAGGATTTGAGGACGTCACAGCGGAGAAGGCGTACAACGACTAAGGGACCAAACTGCTCCACACTACGCGCAAATTCCAAAAATGAAAACTACTCAAAAGGCTGGACATTGATACCCTGTAAAGAAGCCATCAAAAACAATAAAAATTCTGAAACTGATGCAGCAGAATCGGCCTTATCTTTGCAACACATCTACACCCCGAATTCCGAGAGGAAGACAAACCACTATAAAGCCTGCCTGCCAACCCCAAAAAAGCCATCATCTCTGTGAACAGGGAGGCTCTTTGGATCGCTTTCCATTATCAAATCCCTTTGCTACGACATGGAGGATCAAGTACACATCCGTGGAACCATTTTCGGAAAGTTTGAAGTTAGCACGGTTACGTCTTAGTTCCAGCTATGTTCGATCCGACTAAGATTTGCGCGCAAGCGTCGGTCATGTCTCCAGCTCGAAGTGCCCGTTACCAAACAAAGATGTACTAGCCAAAGATCGGTGTCCAAAATTTTGCGAATTACCGCACTTAATGTGCACATTCGGGGAAAGAATAGGAGCAATTGTCTCAGAGGCATCTCCCTAACGTCGGAATACAGAGGATTCCAACACAATTGCCTCCTACCTACCTATTCAAGGTTTACAAAAACGGGCAGCCTGCAATGAGCACAGCATAGCCTCTTGCGAAGACTTCTGCTACCCCGGCAGCACTCTGTGCTTTGCATACTGTGCGGAGACGTCAGCTAGAGTTGGCCCACAGTAAGTCATGTCCCAATTAAACATGACGCACCCGGCTCACATGTGTTTATGTCGTTCTTAGTGATACAGTAACCATGCTATACCAAAAGAAAAGATAATCTCTTGTCAGGTGTGTTATTCTTAGCATTTTATTCGGTTCGGTTGCTATAGATAAGATTTGACTAATTGATTAGTCTCCTTCACAGCCTGACCGATCCATAGTATGAGAAACTTAGACGACGAGTTGCTTACCCATCAGTGTTGCAAGTACGCGTTTTTGTTCTTGTTTTTTTTTGCTGGGCCAATGGCTTCTACATTGCCACCCCACTAGAGTATGCCAGTGTTTTTGCTTGTGGAACTTGAAGCAATAAAATTATGGTCTGTGAGTTGGTGTATGCACATCATCTGCTCAACTTTTGTGACCTGTTGGTGACAAAATATGAGTAACACAGGATCTTATCACGAAACGAAAATTGCTCAGTTTGTCACAAGGAGAATACAATGAAAAAAAATACAGGAGAAAAAAAGAAAAAAAACGCTGAGGGCCATGGACGGCGGAACTACTCGTGGATCGTATTTTCTGGACTGGCCACACGTTGCAGCTACTGGAAATCGCCATAACCACACTCAATGTTCCACAATCCATGCTTAGAAGTACTGGCAAACATGAACCGAATTCTGGTAACGTGAGCATTGGGATTTAAACCTGACGGGATTCCCTTTCACTCAACTGAGATATCCCCCTCGCCGCGTCCTAATACAAATGAGCCACAACCTACCGTTGATTTGGAAAGTTGTGATACAGATTGTGAATAATCTGCACGGCCACATCGGTTTTTCCAGTACCCGGCGGTCCCACTACCAGCGTCAGGCCTGGCTGCATTCCAGAGCGGATGGCTTCTACTTGAGCCGGAGTAAACGGGACCAGATTACCGGGTTTGGCACCGGCAGTGTAAATATTGCTGGGCATATGACCGCCAGCCCGAGCCAACAGGTGCCAAGGCGGGTGAAGGGGTGGTTCATATGCCTCGGCCACCAGTTTCGGTCGGACCGTGGGCGTGGCACTTGGGTCCTTTTTGTCGGTAGAATTAGTTGCTTCTGAGGGAGCAATCATATCCACAGGGACCATGGCTTCAGCCTTCGCACTTGGATCGTCCGATAATGGAGGAAACACCAATTTATAAGGTGGGCCGGGGGGTGCACATTCATCTGTAAGGGAAAATACATTTATTATAACAATGAATATATAAAAAATGTTGAAAACGTGAAATAAGGATGAACTTCATTGGCGACAAGGACACAACAAAAGCCAGACCAAATGATAAATGCATTAATCTGCTTACAGTTGACTCTCTTTGAACAAAAGACCACGGTTTTCACGAATCAGAATGCGTTCAAAGAAACTGAGAGTTGAACTGGTTCGAAATACAGTCTCTCAAGAAAAAGTAAGACAATCAACGATATCCTAAACATTTCTTTATTGTCGGCAAGGATATATGTACGGAGAGCGTAAATGGCGGCTCATGAGCCGAAAACAAAATGTTCACTCACCATAATCCTCTCCAGATTCCTTTTCCTGTGTTGTCCGTTTACTCCAACGACGTTTGTCAATAAATTCAACTTCATATTGAGGGAAGGCGGATTTCAAGTGTTCCGGACTGAGGAACGTATCGAACCAGTTTTGCCGCACCTCGTACACGTCAGGACGATGAGAATAGTGAGCAGCAGCCGGATCCAGGTAGCCCATCAGCAAATCCAATAGCCAATCAGGTACCACGGAGCGTGTATTCATCAGATCCCTTCCAGAAGTAAGTCGGCAAGGATATATGTACGGAGAGCGTAAATGGCGGCTCATGAGCCGAAAACAAAATGTTCACTCACCATAATCCTCTCCAGATTCCTTTTCCTGTGTTGTCCGTTTACTCCAACGACGTTTGTCAATAAATTCAACTTCATATTGAGGGAAGGCGGATTTCAAGTGTTCCGGACTGAGGAACGTATCGAACCAGTTTTGCCGCACCTCGTACACGTCAGGACGATGAGAATAGTGAGCAGCAGCCGGATCCAGGTAGCCCATCAGCAAATCCAATAGCCAATCAGGTACCACGCACGGAGCGTGCATCAGATCCCTTCCAGAAGTAACAACGGGGACTAGCGGTAAACATCTTAACGAAAAATAGTCGTGTTGCCATGGTTGCACACGTAAGATTTCGTAATGGTATAGTAATGAACGAATCTGCAATCAAACCGAAGGTGTCCTAGGGTTTCTTGCTAAGGGGAAAAAAGAAAACACGCTCTAGGACGTTCTTTTTGCTATTACAATTCCAACATCATGGCATGCGAGAATGGGGATGACCTCGACCGACACGTTCTTTGAAGATGTCGTTTTTCGAAAGTGAGCGAAGGAGTGCACAAAATTCGGTTTAGAACTTGCCTTAGTCTCCTTCTGTCTAGCATAGCGTTGGATCACGTGCACTAATCACGATCATATAGTTTCAAAATGTCATTATCAACCTCAGGGAGGCAAGACGTATCGTGATTCCACGAACTTCTCGGTCCAGCACTTTTTGCCGCGATCGGATAGAACAGATTCAAAAACATGGCTTGACTTCTTTCCTGTCGGGTAGCCAATATAACCTTACACGATGACGTATCGTCCACGAACTTCTCGGTCCAGCACTTTTTGCCGCGATCGGATAGAACAGATCCAAAAACATGGCTTGACTTCTTTCCTGTCTGTCGGCCAATATAAGCTTACACGATATTTACTTGGTCGCAAAGCATAATACGCTCAGGGATGGCATATCGATTCCACATCTTGAGTATAACCAAAGCAAAGGACGCCATTGATTTCAATCCATCCGCAGAACACCCGCTGCTTCGGCACCTATAATGCAGTACGCTTGTTACCCTGTCCAGTATACATGCTGGTACAGTGACCACATTTGGACAACGGAAATCTACCATCACATATCTAAAACGAACTAGACTAGCAACCTAATGAAAGAAATGAGCTTTCTGATGGGACACTAAATGTACAACACGAGATTAACGTCTCTAGAAAAGCCTGTCCTATTCGCAGGCCGTAATGTAAACAGCTAGGCAGAAAACTTGAGTGAGCTGCTCTCTGAAAGGAGAACGTGCACTTTTGTGCATTACCGATTAGAGCCCTTAAGACTGCAATCATTCTCTTCAGCTCACCCTAGAAGTGAGCGGTCTGGGAAAGATACGCGTTTGGTGTTTGAATAGAGTTTATTTGACGGACATCGTGAAGGATAGAGTGCCGACTATGAAAAGCTAAGACAAAAATGGTCCAAGACAAACTGGCAACCTGAATAAGAGGTTTACAGGAATGAACCAAATCGGGCTTCTATAGGCTTGTTAATCGTTCAGCTGTAACACCCATTTGATTCATAACTGCCATACTAACAAAGGAAGTGCGAGAGCTGAGATATCACCGCGCTGCCAAGCATAGACAAGAGCAGTCAAAATGAGTGGGGGTAAGTTCGAACCACGGACCCTCCGGTTAGTAATTTCGCGCCTTAACCAATAAGCTGTTACAAGCCTAGGCTTAAGCGATGGCAATGCACTGTTTACCAACAGCGGGTTTCTTCCCACACACAACTTTGCAGGAAATCTCTCTCCCTCGGCACGAGCAACGTTACATCAGGGAATTTCGGTGATACAATGACCTGCTTCTTTTCCGAATGAAAGAGTCAATCCGAAGGAACGGTATGCTTTCAATTAGCTCTTCGGTGCCTTAGTAGCAACATGACCAGTATCGGCCTTGAAGAGACTCGTCATATAGGACTG